TCTTTTTGTTTTGCTCTCCTCTTCTTAAGATTATGCAAAGAATATAACCTGTCATTATATTTTTACAGGTGATTTTTCTTAGAGTTTTCTTCTTCTTACATTTTAGGAGAACTCCCCCTACACGTTAGCCATAAATTTTACTTTCCAGTTTTACTGTTCCCACATCGGCAGCCAAAAGTATATTATATAAACAAGAAGAGAACAAAAAAAAAAAAAATGATGACAAAAGAATTTTCTAATGCTTATATCCTGAACATTTTTCATTCAAATTGAAATTTACCGTTTGGATACACATGTAAGTGGGCTCATGCAAATGGAATTACGCATTTTTTGGTAATTTTTCATTTTTTTTTTTTTACAAGATCTTTTCTCGTAAAATATTTATTACTGATATGTGAGCTATTTTATTATTAATATATTGAAAGGATAATGTAAGGTAAGATAAAAGAAAAAAAAAAGAATTGCAAAACCAAACAGGTGTGATATTATAAAATGAAAAAAAAAATTGAAACCTTAGAAAAGAGGGAACATTATTTTTTAATGAACAACAATATCGATGATGCATAAATGTGTTAAAAAGTCAAGAATTTTAATATAAAAATGTGGAGGTTTTTAGTTAAAGTTTTCTTGTATAAAATAAAAATGTGTTGGTTTTTTTTGTGCACGAGTGTCAAATTTAAGTTTTTTTCTGTGATTTCTAAAAGAAGGCTCAGGCTTCAAATAGTATAAAGTCTACAATGTTTAGTATTCTTTAAAAAAATTTAATTTTTCTCTCTCAGTTTATTAATTTTGTTCGAAGTGATTACTTCACAAAATTTTAGTTTTATTCGACATATGAAATAATTCGAAATTTATATTCTTTCTGATTCTGTTATAAAATGTGCTAAAGTAAAATGTTTCTTCTTTAAAATTTCAGAATTTTTGAAAAGAATAGTATTGAAATAACCCAACATTTTTTAATTATTTCCTATTTTGTAAAGAGTTTCATAAGTAAATTTTAAGAACAGGATTTCTCCACACTCGATATTATTAATTTCATAGTGTGCCTTTAATGCACAATTTATTACATTTTATTAATTCTCATAACGAATTTCACTATTTCACCTAGAGCAGATAATAATTATCATTTCATCATAATGTATACCTTCAGATTAATAGCTCACCTCTAAATTACAATATTGGGACGTAAGATACGTTAAAATACGGTGTCATTTCACATGAAAGCAAATTTTAATTTACTAATTCTTAAAATTCAATTATTTTCTATTAAAATACTTAAAACGTATTATAAAACTTTGAATAAATGAATTAAAAAATGTTTTACATGCACTTAGAATTCTTCTCAAATTTGTCATAACAAATGTTTTTAAATTAAGTACACATACATGTACATTTATACTCGTACATAATGTTTTTATATATATGTATAAAAATATATTGGAATTAAATAATTTTCTTCTTTTGCAGATATTAGTTACGCCTGCATAAATTCTCTAATTAAATAAAATACATTCTTCTATATACTATGTACATACATGTTAACATTCAAGTTCTATACACCTAAATAAAATATTCTTAATTATTATATAAAATTTTCAATTACAGTTAATGTTGAAAGAATGTTAACACACTTAAATTTTCCAATTTTGTGATAATTGTAGAGAAACTATGAATTAATATGTTAACGGTAAATTTTCCGATTTCATGAGTAAAATTCTCAATAAATTTTGAAATTCTTAATAAATATCTCTTTCAAATAAAGGTGAATTTTTTTTTTTGACACAAAAGTACTTTTTGTTTTCATTATAAAAACTGTGAAATTTTTAAAAATTTGTCAAATTTTAATAGTTGATTGGTGGTCGGATCGTATATATCGACATGCCGAATTAGAACTCCATTGTTACAAGAAATACAAAGTCACATAACCCAGGGAATAAGACGATTCGAAATCAAATTTGATTCATTACACTTTTAATTAATACAAGAAGAATTTTAGTTAATTGATACGGTTTTTATTATGATTGGAAATTTAGAAACAATTTACTTTCTGGAATATAAAAATTTATTCAAATTTTTTGAGGGAAAAAATTTGTGATTAGTTGTAGTAAGTTGTGTCCTGCTTACTCTCAATTTTTTTTTTTTTCGTTTTTAAAAAGGACTGCAATATTGTAATAATATTATTATTAAATATATTATTATATATTATATAATACATATACATATGTATATGTATAATTGTATAATAATTAGTCAAATTAAAATAAATAAGTAAAGAAAATATTGTGAGTTGAGTATTGGGTTCAGGAAATAATGGTAACTATATAATTGTATAACCAAATTAGATATATCTATTTAATTTTGTATATTATATAAAAAATATACATATATATTTTGTTCTTTTTGTTCTAAAAAAGGATAACAAATTATAAGGATCTAAAATAATATGGTTTATTTCTTGACATATTTTGTGACCTACTTTTCTTTTTCCTCCTATTTTATTTATTTATGCTCAGAAACTATATATATATGCGTATATATATATACATATGTGTATATGTATGTATATTTAGTAGCATAAATTAAGTAGTTTGATTAATTTGCCAAAATTGAAATATTGATTTTTGATTTATTAAGTAATTTTTGGTGTTGTATAATAAATAATATACGTAAATTATATAATATAAAAATAAAAAAAATTTACTATTTCATAATTATGTAGAAAAAAAGCATACAATACAGAAGAATACCCATGCATATACATACATATGTAGACGTGTGTATATAATATATAATATTGGAATATAAAATAAATGATTGAGATTATGTTTTTTATCCATACTTTCACTATTAAAATAGTTTACATGTAAGCGCCCACAGAAATGTCTAATCATCGAGAAGGAGGAAAGAAAATTAGCAAAAAATCTCAAAATTATTTTGTATCTCTTAATTTGCCTGATTTGCCCACTTCTTTTTGAAAATATTTCCGAAACATGAGTTTATTGTCTTTTGTTTTCTCCTTTTTTCCCCCACTTATAATAAATATTTCATTTTAAAAGTAATGATAATTCTAGAAGATATAGATATAGAGCAAGAAATTTGGGATTTCGAACTTGCATCGCCAAAAGAAGAGCAAACAATAATTCTGAAACTTGTTCTTTTCGGGTTGAGAAAAGCACCTCTTTACCGGGTTTTCATCAAAAAGGAATATTCCAAAGTGTTGTTGCACAGAAAGTCGTTAATTTTGCCTTTAAATTCTCTACAAAATTTTGGTCAGAGACACTTTTCAAAAACGATCCAAGCCTAAGAATAAGAGAGTTTTTAAATACGTTCAAAATCTACATGGAAAACTCCACAAGTTTTATTTAAGAATTTCTTTGAAAATTTATTCTTGAAGCTTCCACCAATGTCAGAAAAAGTTCCGTAAAGGCTTAAAAAAACCCCTCTGATATGTTTATAAATCGGTCCATATATATGTCCTATATACCCTATAACTCTTTGGCTCACATTGCATTAGCTTTGTAATTTTCTTCAAAAACCTCTTCCACTACTTCAATCTCTGAAGAAAAACTAACAAGAAATGTACAGTCAGTATAAATTTCAGACACCTTATCTTAAGGATTTCTTTAATTCTTTTAACCATGCAATGACGCATTATAATTTTATTTACTAACTTAATTCAACTCTTAATTAACACCTACTCCTGTACATACATACAGATATGTCTTTTATGTCTGTTTTCTTTAATTTAGTTAACATGTTCTTTTCATTTCTATTATAATTAAATTGTGAAAATACTTAGATACACGGATCTAATTTATTATCCAAGTATATATACTCAGTCAACGTGTAAATATATGTTAAGAGTATTTTCAAATAAATTATATAATTTTTATATACATACTCTTAATAAAGTTAGGTTATATAAAAATAAAATAAAAATTTGTCATTTGGTAAAATAAACCATAAATAGCAAAAAAAAAAATTATTAAATATTATTAAAATAATTATTTTTATTAGAGAACCTTGAAAACAAGGTTTTTTCCACAACGACAAACCTTCAAATGAATATTAGGGTGACAAAAATTTAATTAATAGAGATTTTTCATTGAGAAAGACTAGATTATAAGCAGCATTCAAGGATAAATTTAGACCTTTTTTCTATGTCTTTAAAAAAAATTACCCTCTCTTTTCCATTATACGAGTATATCTACTTAGTTTCTATAAAAAGAAAAAAACAATTTTATACAATTATACTTAATTAAAATGAATTCGAGGGATGAAGTGATTCACTTAGCAATAATCAAAAGTTGTGAAAATTTCTTGTCTATTAAATTGCTCCTTCGGATAATCGAATAAATTTAAGTTTCAGTTTTTAATATTAAAATACTTCGACTAGCTTTTAATTAACAAATTTCTGCAGTTCATGTCAAAGCTTTTTAAAACAACTTCATTAAAATAAAACACACTTTATTTTTAAACTACTCGACTCAATCCCGTAAAATCAATCAAATTTTTAAATCTACCTCCCAATTTAATTAGGAATATATAATAATTCCTTAATAAGGCAATACTAATTTTATTAAACAAAGAGGTTGGCATTTTTTGCTTTTATTTTTGGGTGATTAAAAATTTAATTAGCTAAAATGATCAGATTTCTAATTAAAACTTAAAATATAACTTTACAAAAAGAAAAACACCGCCTTTAATTGAAAATAATTCAAGGTCTTGTGAATATTTTAGGGGAAACGAAACACATCATATTTGGTTATTAAAGCAATTATATACAAATTTAATTTTTTTTTCTGTGAGCGGATATAAACGACAATCAATAAGCGATTCAATTTTTATCTTATCGCAATTTCAGGTACAATAAAAAAACAAAATATTTTTTTTAACATTTGAACATTTTTTTAGCGTATTATCATTTGGCATTTATGTACAAAAAAAAAAAAAGAGGAGAATAACGATCAAATAATATTAAAAAATTGATTCGCACTTACCTTTTGAGCTTTACACATCTGTTGAATTGGTTGTAAATCATGAGACTGATGTCGATTGTCACTAACACATTGACTGCATGCAGGTATTTTACATCCCAAACAGAATAAATTTAATGTTTCACCATGATCATTACACACGGATTCACGTATTTGGGCATTACCTTTCGGTTTAACTAAATTATGTTTTGCCAATGGACCTCTTGGTGGATGACATAATTCACGGCATCCATCACAATAACGTATTTCACATTGTTCACATACTAATGATGCAACTTTTGGTTCTGTTTCACACATTTGACATTTAAGAGCTTCACGAGCACAAAAACGATCAACAATTGATTCCATTGCCCTATATGGTGGTAAATTACGTACACCACCTTCGTCAAAGAATACAATTTTCCGACAAATTGATAATGGACAAATTAATGCTAATACAGCTCCTGGTGGTGGTATTATTGGTACAGTTGTATTACCAGTATTTGATGTTGTTGATGGTGGTAATAAACCTGTACTAATACCAGTTATACCAGATGATGCTGGAAATAATAATGCTTGTAGATTTGGTGTACCAGCGTATGAACCGGGTCTTGATGTACAACAAATAACACCAGAATCAGCTTCAGATAATATACTAACTTTATCGGCTTGATCCTGATCAGATGATACACTTTCGTTACCACTTGTACTTGCTGATGAGCTAGCTGTTGATGCAGCCGATGATGATGGATGATGTGATCCACTTAATGTTACTGAATGATGTGAATGATTATGATGCCCTGTATGATGTACACTACTTAAATGTGAATGTATTGAACCGTTTGTTGTTAAACCAGCTACACCGGTTGTTAATTGATTTATTTGTTGTTGATGTGTAGATGAAAGATTTTGTTGTTGTTGCTGTTGTTGTTGTTGCTGATGTTGTTGTGCTAAATTTGTTGCTTGTTGGGCAGCTGATGCAGCTGCTATTTGTAATTCTAATGCACACGATAAACAAAGAGCATGAAAACAGGGCAAAAGAACTGGATTTGCATATAACTGCTTACAATTCGGACATCGAAGTTCTTCCTCCATACTAAATGTTTAAATTTTTGTAATTTATAAAAGGGATTGGTTTTACACCAAAATTATGAAGGGATAGAAATAGAGGAGAAAGGGAGGAAATTTAATTTAATCTCCTTTTAAAACTTTCATTAATTGCAATTTTTGAACTTTTTCTTGTTAATTTTTTTTTATAAATTTTGAGTTTTTTTTAATTTGTTTCTTATTTGGTTTTATAAAACTTCAAAATTTAACATTTTTGTTGTTTAGTTTGTTCCATACATTTTGAAGAACTAGATTGAAAATTTTCAAAAATTAATTTTAATATTTATTTTTTTCATTTAAATTGCACTTGTAAATTTTGCATAGATAATTTTAGCGTTTTTAAATATTTTTAAATATTTTTAAATTTTTGTACACTTTACACTTAATTCTCAGGTTGTTATAGATCTTGGATCTGACAAATGAAATAATTTTCTTTGGGTATTACTTCAAATTTAAATGATTTTTATTTATGAACTACCTTAATCTTAATAAATAACAAAACTCAGAGTATGAAAAATTCAGTGCATACCTTAAAATGAAGAGGAATTGCGTTCTTGATGATCTGTTCATCAATTGATTTAGAAAAGTCGTCTGTCTTCCATCAAATAATTATTAACAAATTTCACCTTGGAATTTTTGCAATTTTTGCGAATCAATCAGTATGAATACCGAACTAATTTCAGGCTAGCCAAGAACAAACTCTAAAATATCAAAAAAAAACAAGATAATCTTGTCTAAAAAATAACAAGGCAACAAGATTAACAATATTTCTTACAATAACATTGTTGCGTTCACAAAGTAAATTGATTTAAAAAAATTAAAATACACAGGAATTATCACAAATTTACTTAACCTCCAGCATCGAAATTCAAATTTGATTACTATCGAAATGAATTTTTTAGTTAAGTAGATCTGTTCATAAAAATATCTTTATGTAATCATCATGCTTACTTATGTATATAAAGAGTTAATTGCAAATTAATAATGGACTTGGACACAAGAAAAAAAAACAAAAAATTTCTTATGTTTTTTGTTAAACAACAAGTTTTATGTTTTCTAGATCACATGCACACCTGTACGGTGTGGAATAAACAGAAAAAAAATTTTTAATTTACTTTACAGTATATTTTTTTTTTTTGCAAAATCTTTAATCTAATCGCGTTTATTTATTGTCGATCTAGATAATAAACTTTAATTTTTGTAATAATGAAATTGAAATGTCGACATTGAAGAAAAGAATTCCAAGTTTTTGCTTGCATTCAGCTTGTTATTTTTTTTGTTATTTAAATATTTAAATTAAAAAAAAAAATCTTAAGAAATCTTTAAATGTGAATAATTTCAAATTAACAAGTTTAAACTATTCACAATTTTATGTAAATAAATTCAAAAGTAACAAGATATCTACATAATATTGGGTGAGTATGTTTATAGAATATGCAAATACAATGAACTCCTTTTAAGTATTTACAAAAAAAAACGTAAGACCTCGCTAGCTTTAATGCTTATCAATCGATTTTATTAAAATTTAAAATTTTACTTTTGAATTTATTGAGATTTTTTTTTTTAATATTTTCTTGATATATGAGAAAAATTATTATATATACGGGACTTGTTGATTAAAAGATTATTTAATTCAATCGAAATTATTTTATAAAAAGAAGGTGTTTCTTTTTAGAAACTTGCTCTGTTATTGCAGAAAATTCTGTGTTCTTTAGTTAATAGATAATATAGGTAATTATCAAGGCGTATTCACTCATTTATGTATGAAAAATAGACCTAGATTTTTTTTTTTTGCAAAGGAAGCAATTGCTGGCAGGAGAAAATCTTCCTATCGATATTGGCAACAAATTGTAGTTTTAGAAAAACCGCCTAACTCTTAAAAATCTGAAAAATATTTGTGAAGAGAAATTCGAAATAGTCAACAATTGGAATTTATTCAAGGTATGTAAGTATTTTAAGTTTTTTTTTTAAATGAATCATCGTTTGTTTTAAGCTGAGCATATAATTTTATTTCAATTTATATTGTGACACTTTAATTTGACTCCTAAAGTTTTATAGCTACATTTATCAATAATTCGGAAATTCCATATATAAAGTCACTTAAATTTCGTTTAATAATATATTTTTATTTAATTTTGTGAACCATTTTTATATTAATTTATCGTGAATATTTTTTTTAACAAAATTTCTTGAAATGAAATGGATCTTCTGAAAACGCCAGTTCAATAGCTTAATTCAATTTCAAACAAGATGGAGAATGATTATATAGAAGAATTACTAGCGTAAGTTTTTTCTCTTTTTTTTTAGTTTTGGTAAAAATTAATAAATATTTATAATTTTAGCAATTTACAAAACAAAAAATATTGGAACTCCGCCAAAATGAAACTCTTAATTCAAATAAGGTTAGAAAATGAAATGAGTTTCAGTGAAAAAAGAAAAGAAGTAGAGTTTGTGGCACCTATGCCTCCGGAAAATGAAAAATTTCCATATGTATGCTGCATTTTCAGAAAAACCCAAAAATTTTCCAATATGAACAATTGTAAAATTTCTCATAATTGCCACGGACGAAGGAATATTGATTTCATTGCAATACTTACTGTAATACTGTTTTAAATGAAATATTACGAAATTGTTTTAAAAAAATTTATTAAGTTTTTAAATTTACAAAATAATTAATTTACTTATATAAGGTCTTTGACTTGATCCAACCGGACATAATCAAAGAATAAAGGTATCTGATAATATGTTATCAAATATTTTATTTAGATATGTACTGAAATTGCAATAAGAAAAACAAATAAGCAATTATGATAAGATTTCGAAATGTTATCGAATTTTTCGAAATAAGTTACACACATGTTATTGTGAATTTATAATAAAAGTTTTTTATAAAGAGATATTAAATGTAAAACAATTTAACTTAAAAATTAACTATACAAGGTGTGGCAATTCTAATTTAAATGTAATATTCTTTATTATGTATTTATATATGTATGTAAATTTTGAAAAAATTAAGTTATGACTATGTAGTTTCAAGCAGGTGAATTTTGAATTAAATTGCATTTTACTATACATTTGGTACTTGACTTTATAATATTTTAATTTGGAAAACTAATACTTAAAATTATTTAATAAAATAATTGAATTATTAATATTTTAATGGATTTTCTTCAGTAAGAAAATAGTTTTATATAATTACGAAAAATTTTACTATTACTTTGTTTATTGCATTTATGTAAAAATTGTGAGTAGCTCTTGGCACATTAAAATTCTTATCGTTATCCACAATATCAATGAACATAAAAATATTTACAATATTAATCGTACAATTTATAATTTATATCATATAAGTATATATGTATATGATTTCTTATTTAATTAGATAATAATTATATAAATACTAGCATAAACTGTCAACTACACTATAAGAATATTATTACTTTTCCTCAAAATACATAGATTTTCTAGTCTAAGTATAATGATTTATTCGGAAATATAAGATCTCATATACTTAGTTCAATATTATTTATATTCTTATTGTGAACCAAGAATTTTTCCAAAAATTTTAAATTTAATATGTAGTATGTAGTCATATATCAATTTCTTAGAATGATAATTAAATATTATTTTAAATCTCAAACTCTTACTAAATTTTTTACATGTAATGAAAATGTAATGAAACTGTAAATTAATTTTGTGATTTACATTTGTATTAAATTGAAATTTCTTAGATTTGTATAATTAGAATTTCTTTATAATTTAATTTCATATTTAAAATTTTCTCGTCACTATACAATTATAATACTACATAATATATTAAGGAAGTTCCAGAAATTTTTTCATTCAATATTTATACTGTATTTATCATTTAACAATATTTGTTTATTTTAAAATACAAAAAAAAAAAGTTCTATATATTAAATAGAAAAATTGAAAAAATTAAGGAATTAAGCAAAATATGTTTTTTAAAAATTTATTCAAGATTGAATACCATTGATTTAAAAAATCTGATCTTTAATTAGCTGTATGAAAAATCGGAATAAATCATTCTAAGAATTTGATATTAAAATATGAAGAAGTCGAAAAAATATAAAATCTTTCTAAATACTTAGTTACTCGTATAATAGTTCGAAATCAAATCCATACATAAACAGTTTATTCAAGGAAATTTTAAGAAAAATATATTATTGCCCGTTTTGGCTACAATCTATAGCAGTTACCAATAAAAGCCAACAATTTTAATCGGATTTTTCCATTGAGATTTCTTATGAATTTTGCAAAATTAATATCATAAAAAATATTAAATGAAATACATTGTACGATCCAAAAAAATATTTGTAAATGACAGCTTTAGAAATATAAGTAAAGAAAATTTGACGATTCGAATCTACAATTTCGATCGAGAAATTAGAAATTTAACTTTAATATTTTTATACAATTTCTTTACAATAAGTAGTCATATAAAATCAAATAAAATAATTAATAACATTTCATTTTTAATTTCATAATAAATTTATATGAAATTATATAATCATCATAAACACTTATTGTGCTCATGAACATAATTTAATAACTATTGTTCTTCAAAAAAAGAAAATATGATGAAAAGGATTAAAATAAAAATTGCTTTATTTGTTACAAAAGAGCAAATTATTTCATTTTCCATATTTTATTATTAATTTTCTCACATACAAAACAAAAATAATTTTAATAATAATTATTATATAAACTTTCTTTTTTTTTGCTATAATAAAAAACGCTAAAATTATAACCATGTAAAAACATAAAAAAATTAAATAAGTATAACATAAGTATAAAAAGTTTATTATTTTAGTTTTAATAATTTTCATGTTTTACACACATTATAACATATTAACAAAATAATCCTATTACTTATACAAATTAAAATAAATTTATTTTTTGACTTTTATTTATGACTTTATATTTTGTTATTTATTTAATCGAAAGTATGTTTGGTTGTGTGTATAATATATTAAGGTAATGGTTTCCCTTTTTTTTATTTTATACATATTAATGTTATATTATTTAATTATGTATAGAAAAGTTTTTTTATAAAATTCACATAAATTAATTACAAATAATATAAAATCCTTAAATGTTTCTGCTTTTGCTTGTGCTGTAAATAACATATAAAATATTTTACCAACACATCACTTAACTAGTTTTATATACATTTTATATTTTTAATTATTAAATAACTTTTTTGGTTTGTTTTTTTTTGTTTTCTCTTATTATTTTTATTATAGTTAATCAGATTTTATTAAATCAAATCATCACGTTTACACTTCTTTTTCTAAATATATATACATATGTACATACTTATGTACATATATTATTTCTCTTTTGTATAACACTTATGTTAGTAAGTATAATTTTGTTAAATGGTATGAGGATTTAATATTATTTTTAGATTTTTAAATATTCATACACACAACACAACATACCATCTTATGATATACAATTTTCTACCTATATAAATTTACTTATAATTTTAATTACTATTATAAAAGTAAACTAAAATGTTATATTTATAGTTGATATATACGTAATATGTATATTTATGTAACGTTACAAATGTGTGTTGTTTACCGTAAATAAATTTACAATATAACTTAATTAAGAACAAAATCAAGAACGCACTAAAAGAATTTTATTTGAATATAAAATTATAATAGATTTGAAATATGTGATTTTGTTTTCACTCAAGTATAACTTTTATTCAAAAAATTGTTATATTTTATTAAAATTTATGAAAAATGCATAGTATAAATGAGTGTTTACATATAAATTATATTTATATAATAAAAATATTTTTAAGAAAAAAAAAATTTTTTTTTTTTAAACCCAATTTTTCATTTTGAATATCGTTATTAAAAATAGTAATAAAATACAAAATTAAAAAAAAAATATTATTAAGCAATAAGAAAAATTAAGAAGAAAATTTTTTAATTATTTTATTATTATTTTTTTTTTTATATTATTTTAAAGCTCTTCAAAATTTACATTTTACTTACTTACTTTATTATTATTCACATTTCAATTTCATTTAATTACACTATACATACGAATTGGCATGAGAGTATAACACTTTATACTATAATGTAACTGTTAAGAGAAAAAAAATTTTTTTACTACTTTTTCACTTTTAGAATATTAAATGAAGTTTTGTAATTATTTAAAATATTTTATATGTATATATGTAGGTATAAAAATATAGGAATGACTGTATTAAAAAATGAGTAACGGTATTTCTTAAATATTCAACTCAACTATTATACTTATTTATAATTTTTTTTATGATTATTGTTATTATTTTCTCTGTATTATAAACCGTTTTATTGGTATTTTTCATTAAGAAAGGTATATAACATTTTCAGTAAAGTATATATATATATAACAATATATATCTATAGTTCTGTGATTTTTATTATTTTTATTTTATTTTGTTATACTTATAATAAATTTTTGTATAGATTTTTTTTTTTACATTGCAAATTAACATGAAAACTCTTACACTTTACTAATTTTATTTATTTATTTAATTTTTTTTGTTTATTATAACATGTTTCGCTTTTACTGATTAATATTTATTATTATATTACTTGTTATATACTTATAATATGTTGTTTTCTTTATAACTTTTATAATATATTGTTGAGAATTTTGACACAATGTAATTTATCCTTTATTTTTAAGTATACAATTTTATTTTATTTTATTCTTTTATCCTTTATTTTCTTACTCCTTATACAAATATTTCAATTCTTTTCTTATAATATAACTTTATTTATATAAGTAATATAATATTTTATAAGTATTTTTTTGTTGTGTTTTATTTTAATACCTTTATAATATTATTAACATGCATCTTTCAATTATTTCTTATATATGAAAAAATAATATATTTTGATTTTACTATTATGTATATAGTTTATTATTGTTATACACTTAAATATAACAATATAAAATGTATGTTATATATAATATGTGCACTTTACTTATAATATCATAAAATAAAATCCCCACGAAATCCGATTATGGTAAACCTGTAATTTTCAAATCCCGTTATTTCACTCCTTTTGCGAGTTTCGTTATTCGATTTTTATATATACTTATATTTTTTTATTATTTTTATTATACAGTTTATTGTTATTGTTTTATTATATTATAAAGCTTTTTACATACACTTAAACGTATATATATAAATTTTTTTTTGAGTGAGAATGTCATGCAAAGTAATGTAACTTTGGATTTATTAACCCTTTTCTGATAATATAATTTTTTGCTTTGTTTGTTAATATTTTATTTTCTTTTCTTTCTATATTTTTTTTTTCAATTCAATTTACATTCAGTTATTCTGTAACACATCAGGTGTATTAATAATAAAAAAAAAATTAAAAGAGGTACTCTGACAACAATAAAAAAAAACAAAAGAAGTATGAGTAGATAGGTGGGTAGGTAGGTACATAGGTACGTTAAACCAATTTTAAATCATGTAAATCCTTGCATAAAATTCATAAAATTATGTAAATCCTTTCCCGTCTGTGTTCGTTTTTTTTTTGCTATTTATTTTCAGTTTTTAATTTTTTTTTTGTCCTTATATCTTTAATTTATGAATATTAAAGTTTTCTTTATTTTTACTTATATTTTAATTTTATTTATTTTGAGTTTTTTTCACAATTTGTCAGAATTTATTGAGATTTGATTGTGAGCGAAATTGATTTATCTTTTTTTAATTTTTTAGATAACGTTCTTTCATCAAATATTAATTAATTATTTTTAAATTATTTTAACAATCAATTTGTAAGTCATTAATGAATTTGCTCCCACAATATTATTTTGATTTTTTTTTTTAGATAATTGATGTTTTAATTTCATTAATTAATTAATATGAAAAGTACAATTTTCTGAATAGAAATTAACAAACCAAGTTTAAAATTTTCCGAACAAAATTTTTAAACTCAGTCCTATGTTTTCAAAAAACTACAAAACACTTCAAGTTTATACATAAATTTCCTTATTTTTCAATTTTGTACAATAAACTTTTATGTTTATTTAAACAAAAAAAATAAAACAATAACTGTAATATTCAATTTTTAATAACCGTTATTTTTTTTTATTTATCCACAAAATCAGTCCTAATTACAAAATGAATTGTTAAACTTTTGTCATAAACTTATGGAATTAAAAACTTTTCCAACACATTTAGAAAAAATCGAGCAAAAGAAAAAATAATAATTTTTCTTCTCCTTTTTTGTTTTATTTATGCTCAAAGATAAGATAATATTTTTATAAACTCCCGTTATATCCGAACATTAGCGAAAATAATGTTCACCGAACGACGTTTATTTCCCAACTAAAGTAAAAATTCTTATTCAAAATGGAATTATAAAAAGAAACAACGGAAAAAAGAATAAAATAACTGTAAAGCAAGAAAATATTTCAAAATTTTGTTTTTTCTTTCATTTCTGTTTTCTCCAAAAATAAAAAACAAAAACAAAATTTTTTATGCAGTCCACAGAGAGTGCATTTGCGCATATGTAAAAAAAAATGCTTTTTATACAGATTTGGAGACTTTGAGCACGTGTTTTACAGATAATTTTTTTGCAGTTCATATCAGTGTTCCGTTTATTTCTTTTCTTATTAGAAAAAAACAACAATAATGTAATGTAAGTATAAGAATTTATTTAAAATTTTTGAAATTTTGATTAGAAAATTCCGTGAAAAATACAAAGAAGAGAATTAAAGATATGGAGAATGAGAGAACGAAAAAAATTCTCAATTTACAGAAATTCTGTATAGTTTTTTTTTTTTTTAAATGCAATTTTATGAAAACATTTTGCAGAATTTTTGTGGTAATGAACTTTTAAACAAACAAAAATTATATTTTACAATCCGATTTGAATATTTAGAATATGTGCGTATATAAACAATTATGTATGCAAAGTGTCATATATATGTATATACGGCTATACAGTGCGTATCAAATGAATAAACTAAAATAAAATATATTGGAATTTATTGAGGTAAATAATGTATGCATGTATTTTAATAATTTCTTCGTTTATATTTTTAAATAAATATTAAGATGTACACTTGTAATACATTTTAATTCGACTATGAACACCAAAAAATTCAATTTATAGAATTTCAAAGAATTCATTAAAATCTTTAGAAAAGAGATAAATTAATTAGAAAGGCATTTACTAATAATTGATTGAGCTTATCGAAAAAGTTTTATTTTATTGTTGACCAAACCACAATATTATAATTATTGGCCAAGTGTTCTCAAAAATATTGAATTATTTTAAATTAATAAGGTGGCTGTAATAAGTAGGTGGTTGTAATAAAAGTTTTTTAATCTTAATTTCAAAAATTTCTTTTTTTTTTTTTATTTATTCGTCAAATTTTCATCAGCTTTGTTACAATAAAGTAGCAATCGATTGGCGTAACTATAGTAACAATTCATTTTATTTCAAATTTTGGTAAATTATATAATTTAATGTTTACTTTTATTTTAGAAAAGCGAACTTACATCATCACTATTAATTCGAATATTTTCTGAAACTGCTACAAAAACTTTAGAAGACATTATCAATGCTGCGGCCAAGTAATGAACCACTTTTACCAAAATTGAACCGTTTAATCGGAATGACAATCTCTGCAGAGACTGCTCTTGTAACTAGGAAGTAAGGATGGTTCACATTTCATGCTAATACCTGACACTGGCAGTTCGCCGGACTTATTAAGGGTAATAACGGTTTTTCCTAGAATTCAGAGTGGTTCGAATGACGGGGTCCAAGTTCCATATCCTCCGGGAAGTAAATTTTTGTTAATTATTTTATTACTTTTAAATCTTTTAATACATTTGGTATTAAAGTATAAAACTTCGATATTATTCATAAAAAATATTTCTAAATTTATGAAATCTTGAAAAACGTGATCTCACCTATTCTCACGAATAATTAATCCTTATCTATACTACACTGTCATATTTTAAGTTTTTTTTTTACTTTTTTCTAAAAATTAATTTAAAATATTTTCAATTTATTGAATTCATGTTAAAAAAATTTTTCATATCTAAAATCAATTTAAAATAATTTAGTTTATTTTTTTAAGAATTATTTTTTCAAAAAATATTCTAATTGGTTTCTCAATTTTCTCTAGTAAAAAACAGAGAAAAAAAATAAAAACTTGAGAAAGAAAAACAAATATTTTTTTAACTGAAAACAAAATAATAAACTCCATTGAGATTAAAAACTTTGACAATTTAAACAAGAATCCTTATTGAAAGCCTTATCATTCCAAAAAACAAAAACAAAAAACGAAAAAAACAAAATGAATATCGCCAAAAGAGCACTGAGAGAACTCATAACTTCTAAAAAAATAACAAAAAAGAAAAGAAAAAAACCAAAAAGAAGAGAAACACCGAAAGAATGTTTAATGAAAAAGGACTAAAGGACTATTATCTCTTCCGTTCTATCTTCTTCTTCTTCTTCTACTATAATATTTTCTACCAAATATTGTCATTGTATTTCTCATACTTTCAAAGAAATTGTTTTTTATCAGTTCTTATAGATCAGAAATGAATAAAAATAATCGCATATTTCTTGAAAACAAAAAGAAAAAATTAAATTTAATAATTGAATATTACAATAAAAAACAATTTAGAAAATAAATAAATATAATAGATAAATAAATAAAAATATTTGAAAAATAAAAAAACAAAAGGATTTCTAAAATAAAAAAAAAATATTTTTATGTCCTTAACAAAGAATTTTTTTTTTTCTTCTTTTGTTTTTCGAAAAAATATCTTTTAACTCGTTTATTTCTATCTTCCTCACATCGGATTTCTAATATTTTTTTTTTGTTATATTATGAAATTTAATTTTGTAGAATTCACATACGATTTTTTATAATATATTCATTTAAAATGTGGTTACCAGATTACTTTTGTCATTAAATAAGAGTAGGGATATTGAACACTATACTACCGAGAATAAAGTGGGAAAATGTAAAAGCTTTCAGGTCAAAAACAACAAATTTGAGTTTTAACACTAGAAATATACAAAAGCTGGATACTGAACACTATACTACCGAGAATAAAGTGAGAAAATGTAAGAAATTTCATGCTAAGTTCAACAATAATTTCAGTTCTACTTCTAGAAGTGTACAAAGGCTGGATACCGAACATTATACTACCGAGAATAAAATGAGAACAAACTATAGTTTTTACGTTAAATACAATAAATTTAAGTTCTCCCACCAGAAAAGTGGACAAAGATTGGATACTGAACACTATATTACCGAGAATAAAGTAAGAAAATGTAAAAGTGTTCATTTTAAATGCAATAAATTGGAGCTCTTATTCCGAAAAGTACAAAAGGTGGATGCTAACCACTATACTACCGAGAATAAAGTTGTAACATGAAAAAGTTTTCATGCGAAATACAATTAATTTGAGTTCTACCTCACGAACTGTACAAAGGCTGGATACTGAACACTATACTACCGAGAATAATGTGAGAACATGTAAAATTTTTGATATTAAATAGAATAAATTTCAGTTCTATCACAAGAACTGTACAAAGGCTGGATACTGAACACTATACTACCGAGAATAAAGTGAGAAAATGTAAAAGCTTTCAGGTTAAAAACAACAAATTTGAGTTCTATCACCAGAAATATACAAAGGCAGGATGCCGAAGACTATACTACCGAGAATAAAGTGATAAAATGTAAGAAATTTCATGTTAAGTTCAACAAATTTTAGTTCTACTGCTAGAAATATACAAAGGCTGGATACCGAACTTTAAACTACCGAGAATAAAATGAGACAATGTAAAAGATTTCTTGTTAAATACAAGAAATTTCAACTTTAATTTAAAATATAGTTACTAAAATAGGTAAATACTACTATAAATTTGATCTAAAATTTGAAGATAACTTCTGAACAAGTTGTTCATATTTTTCATGAGAAACGTTTTAGATAGCAGTAGCTTAGCTTAACTTAAATAGGTTCATGGTCTCAGTAGTATTTTAACAAAACTGCAAAATATGTTCATGGAATTAGTTTTATTAGTGTTTTGCCTCTTCTTTTGTTCTAAATGAGAAAATGTTGAAAATTTTTTTTTTAAAAAAAAAAACTTGCCTTTATCCTTTTCATTTTTTGCCTTTCTATAATAAAATATTTGTATTTAACTTTTCTTCCTTTTTCAATTCTATCTCTATTTACATATACAATATTACATATTATTATTTACATATACAATAAATATGTATATAAATATATATGCGTATTTGTTTTAGTTTCCTTGGCTAATATCACAATATAGTTTGCCTTTACAATATTTACATGAATAACACAAAAAAAGGACATTTAATAAAGGAATTTGAAAGAGTTGATTGTTTTCAAATGTGTCCATTTTATTTATTTGTATAAATAAATTTGTTTTAAGTAAATATTAGTAGACAAATAAGATGTAACTGATGTAATAAAAATGTGAATTATATGGAAGAAAAATTAAGTTCTAATGAAAAGTAAGAAGAAAATTACATTGGTCAGTTAAATAATTTATGAACAGAAGATCCTGTAATATTCTTGAAAGAATTTTATAAACTTTGTATTTAAAATAATTAGTATGAATTCCTGATTTTTCTTATTTATTCACTTTAGAAAGGAGCAAATTGAATTCGCATATATCTTATGATTAAAGCTTTAGAATGTGTTAGACAAAATTCCATTCATGCATGGAATAAAATATATTCTCTTGGTGATTTCCTACTCTTAATTAATTTGGAAAATTTAATTTCACAAATTAATTTTGGATTCAAATATTTTTAGTACACTTTCGAGTTTTACATATTTTTTAAAATCACAATTGGAAAAACAACTTATAAGTAAAAAAAAAAATAATCTTAGATTTAGTTTACTAATTTAGTGTTGTAAATTTTCAACATTGTTTATATTTTCCTGGCCTTCACTATACAATCACATTACACTGATGCTAATAAAAAGAAAAATCTGTTAAAAATTAAGTTAAAAAAATTCTTTGTAAAATTTCAATGTCTAAAGTGACTAAAACAATTTTAGAGAGAATCTTAAAGAAATTTTTCTTTTTTTTAAGGACAAAATCACCTAACGTGTCCCTTTGAATTTTTACAAAAAAAAAAAAAACAAATAATAATCAAAAATACGTAATAAAGGCAAATAATGCAAACAAACAAAAGTACTAAACTTTTCATTTTACTTTATTTTTTGATTTACTTTTGTTTTACCACTACATCTGTGCAAGAAAAACAGAGATTACAACATTATTTTCAGTTGTTTTGTGCATCTTCAA